GGTGTGCTGTACGTAGACTACACAAAGCTTTTCTTTATTTATGCTGCATTTAGCTGTCTGTCAACCCCAGGATACCAGTAGAGGATATTTTCAGTGTTAATACTCTAAAGAAAACAAGAAAATGTTAATTGAATAATTTGTTTTCTGTTCTGCAAAGTGTGCATAGAACCTCTACGAGAAAGATCCATAGTCAGTCCCTACCTTTGAAAACTCAGGTGGATGTTTGATGAAGGTGCTAGAAGACAATGACACAGAAGGATGCACACAGTATGTTGTATGGAGAAGTATCTCATTTTTAAAAAGGAATTTTGCAAAAAAAAACCTTTATATTTTCTGCTTTGGACAGCCAAATTTTGTACAAGGATGACTTGAGAATTCTTTGCCAAGTTCGGCTCCTTTCCAAGTATGGTCTGCTATAGAAACAAAAAGCATAAATATATGAAGTATATAACAACGCTCAGTTTTATGACTACTGGCATGTAACACCGCATCCCTAACAGCCTAAAATGCTGTTTTTATGTTACATTTACAAGAACTTTGATTTCAGTATATTTATTTCCATAAACTGGCTTTCACCTATCTAGGTGGCAAGAAGAAGAAAAAGTGTTTATGGTGCATTTGAATTGCAAAAACAAGACATATTTCACCAGGACTCCATCCCCTGGGATCTCAGTGAATGCATGCCTTGTTTAATTTTTCCAATTTTTAGTATTGTCACCACACATCATTATTTTTATTTTGTTTCACAGAAATTAAAAAGTATCTTTCTCTATTATGAGGATTAGCATTACCTTTTCAACACACATTGGCCTAGTATTTTGTCAGGTTTTTATGATTTAAGACCTATCAAAATTAAACGTCTTTATTTGAGAAATGCTTCTTCAGGCTCAGAGACACTACAGGCAAAAAAACCCCTACTTTTAGTAAGAAACCTCATGATATTATTTGGTACTGTGCTTATTATTCAGAAGTCCACTGTTGTGATGTTTGTGCTATTTCTGTGAAGCTGCTCATTCAGTACCAAAAATTTTTGGTTGTGGTGTTTTTGTTATTAAACTAAGCAGCAGCCCTTCAGTTATTTTCAGGGAAGGGCAAAAGAGTTAAACGATGTCACTAAAAGCCATTGCTGCTGTTCAATAGCATAAGACCAATATTAGTGTATTTCTCAACTACGAGATCATATTTTTCTTAACAAAAAAAAGTGAGCTTTGTTATAACAGAATCTTAATTTTGTATCAATTGCAGGACAGTTAAATATATTTTTAGAACTACTGCTAATGCAATAATTTATATTTGAGAATTATGTAAAGTACAGCTGCACTATTTCATAGGTCATTATGCATCCCTTGAAGAGTTTCTGGTTATATACAGAATTATAAGAACGATAAAAACAGCAGCTGAAAGTGCTTTTTAGCAGATGCTAATTATTGTAGGTATGCTATGAGGTCATAACGTACATTAGTATCCTATATAAATAAAATATACCATGTGGTGCCTGTATATAGTGCTATCATTACACGTATTTCATGTGTTTAGATAAGTGATCGTTGGTACAAGACCTGTATACAGACTATTAAGATAATCACTTTTTGAAAACTCTTTTGCTGGCCATTCAGCAGTACTGCAGCCTTCAAATTCCAGAGAGAATTAGCCCAAATTTCTTTATATTTTATGCTTTAAGTAGCTTGCATATGTGCAGTCATTTGAAGAGGTTATTGAAGCATTTTCAAAATAAATATTGTGATAATGTCTCCCTTCTAGCTCTATTTTATTTGAAGGCAAAAAGGATCTGTCCCAAAATATTTAAAAAAAATTAGATTTTTTTTAAAAGAAATTACATATATACACAACCACATGCTTACTAATGTCATTGTATAGTCATACATATATGTATATATGCAATATCCTAGTAAATATGTAAATACACACACATAGATACATATTTTTCGCTTTCTCTATACTTACTATATTATATACAAATATGCATATAAATATATGCAGTATCCTCAGAATTTTTGTATCTATAAGCAATATTTTATGTTTTTCATGTATTGCTACACTGCTACTATAAAAAAATGAATAATATGCAAGAAAATTTGAAGCATAATATAAAACAACAGACTCATTCTTGCAAAGCTTAAGCAAAAACACCCCCAGCCACAATTTATAAAGTTTGAGTTTTCATTTCTCCTTCTTTATTACGAAAGATAATAAATAAAGCAAAATAAAAAGCCACTAAGATAAAATATTACTATGTTGGTTACAATGAATCATTTAATAAGGTTTTGAATATGCCGTTTTTTACTTACTTCTCTAGTACTCCTGTGAATAGTCTTCACCAGCACTACTTATTCAGTCAATGACATGTGAGGTGGGTGAAAATTGCAGAATTAGACTCTGAAATGGAATATTAAAAATCCAGGCAAAATCACTGGAGCGATCCTGAGTACTCTGGAGCAAATCAGAGATGAACTCAGCAGCAGGATAAACTTAAAGTGTGTTCTCAAAGTTACAGGTGCACGCAGGTTTAAGTGCTTTGCTGTGTTGGAGAGGAAATGAACAGAACTTTCTTGCCTTGGTTTTTTGGTGGGTTTTGGAGCAATATTTTGCTGTAAGTGTTGAGAATGGGTTTTCTGATATGTGCAATGTTCATTGTAACAAATTATTTTCTCCCAAGTACGTACCATGTTAATTTTTTTTTTTTTTTTGCCCCTAAGACTAAAAATAAGGAAAATGATTCGACATATATGTAGGACCTGGGGTTTACTCTCAGCCCTGCCAGGGACTTCTTTGTGAAGGTCTGCTTTGTGAGGCCAGATTCAATCTGGTAAATCAGGTTCATGTCCACCGAAATATACGCAAACGACAACATTTATTGCCTTGCAAGACTGTCAGAGTGTTTGACTTGTTAACGCTCATGTGTTACGCTGAAGGTCCTTGTGTAACTGCTGGGGAGGGTACAGCAGAGGGCTACAAAGATGATGAGGGGCCTGGAGCATCTCTCTTACGAGGAAAGGCTGAGGGACTTGGGTCCTTTTAGTCTGGAGAAGGCTGAGGGGGGATCTGATCAACGCCTATAAATACTTAAAGGATGGGTGTCAAGAGGGTGGCTCTGGTCTTTTTCAGTGCTGCCCAGTGACAGGACAAGAGGAAATGGGCACAAACTTGAACGTAAGAAGCTCCACCTACACTTGAGGAGGAACTTCTTTCCTGTGAGGGTGGCAGAGCCCTGGAACAGGCTGCCCAGGGAGGTGTGGAGTCTCCTTCTCTGGAGACATTCAAAACCTGCCTGGACACGTTACTGTGCAACCTGCTCTGGGTGGACCTGCGTTGGCAGGGGGTTGGACTGGATATCTCCAGAGGTCCCTTCCAACCCCATGTGATTCTGTGATTCTGTAAGTAACAATGAAGAAATGTGGTTGTGCTGTGAGATGAGGTGGGATGACCGTACAGGTGGAGATAGAGCTGCTGAACACCCAGCCATGGCTGGGAGGATGTCCTGGATGGGCTCTAAAAAGGAGAATTCTGATATTATCCAGAGGAGGTCTGTTCACCAGTCTGACCCACTGCACAGGGCAGGTGGAGCACAGGATGAAGGTGGGGAAACAGACACTGGGCAGGTTTGATTCGTGTCTATCCACCCCTGATGAGCTCTGTTCAAACCAATGCAAAGCAGGATGAGATGGCCAACTCCAAAAGCATCAGCTCTGTACTTCACAGTGCAAAAATTATATTAACTGATGTCCAAAGTACAGAGGTTTTGCAGTCCCTTCAGGAAATTCAGCTTTTCTGCCTTCAGTGGGTATTTTGGAAGTACCTGCTTTTTAGTGCATTCCTCGGGCAAAAACAATCACTCTTTATGAGCTAAGAATAAAAGTCAGCCCTGTCAGGGCTGGTTTAGACATTGACGGAGAGGGACATAAAGTACTGGAGGCCACACTATCTTTATCTCCCACCCACTTCAAATTTGGCACCAATATAGAAATGCAAACAGCCACGTGGTCTGTCTTCTGTTTTCCAGCAGCGACTTCACATTTGTTGCTCACTTTCCTCACAGAAAGATCAGTGCTAGACGTGGAACTGTGCCACAGATGGGTCCATCCCTACAGTTTTGCGTGCATCACTCATCCTTCTATTAGGTTCTACCAAATTTCTATTAATTTTCACAGATGTTATTTGTTATTTCCTGGGACTTTGTTTTTTTTCTCTTGCTCTGTATTGCTGGGTTTTTTTGCCAGTCTTGTGTAGGCTTTACCTTCAGAGGTGTTTCCCTCATCCCTTGCCTCCTGTTTTTGCTCAGCTCTTCTGCCTCTGCAACCACGGATGCTCTCATCAGGTCCCCAGTATTCAATTCATGGCCAGAATAGGCTTCTCTTCAGCTGCTCAGGACACAATGGGGCCCTCAGTTGGGTGATGCAAACCTCTGGACTTTGAAGTCTAATGGGCAGGCACTTTTCTTTCTAGAGAAGTGTCATAGACACACGTGGCTGCTCTTTTGGGTTGGAGATGGCCAAAGAAAACTCTCTTTATCAGGAGAGCTCAGACTACCCTTCCTTTGGGTAGCCTAAGACTGTGCAGTTGAATCACAGGCTGCCTTACAACAGCATCATCTTCATGTGTTCTGCTCTGCAACTGTGTGAAAGCAGAGAGAAGACACCAGTCCTGGTGCTCCCTACTTGGGGAATTTATCCACTGTCAAATTGCCCCGTCCAGCTTTGCCACAAACTGGATTTAAAATTATCACCTGTATGCTTATTTTCTAAGTATTTATCTCAACATACATTGTTTAATATTCTGAGCAATGTGTGTGCTATAACAGTATTTTTTTCTGCTTTCAACTCTTCAGCCTCTCTTATTACGGTACTTGTGATTTGTAAAACTCCAGTTGTGCAATACCTCTCTGATAGAAGCATGGCATGGCCCAAATCCATGCACTATTATTAAACCCAAGGAGTCACATTTGGTGAAAGTCCTTTTGTTGGTTGTTTTGTTCCTGTCAGGATGGATGCAGTGGCCAGAATGCCCCCCAGGCAGTCGCCCCTAACCTAAAGCCATCAGTGCAGACCTTATTCACCCTGGATGTGGGAAGGGGTGAGTCTCATCCTCAACTGCTTGTGCACAATCATGTACGTCACCCCACCAAGTGTTCTTAATCTGAGTGAAATATTTTGCTGCCCTATCAGGTTTCTTTAGGAAACCTGCCATACTAGTGCATGAAAAATGCTTCTTTACTATTTCATGAAGTCTGGTATATTTTCAGACGTGACCACATACATTTGTGTTAAATCAAATCTGCTGAGTATGTCTGTATGTGGGTTAAAAAAAATTAATGCTCACGCTGTAGGCATTGCAGTGGCCTATTAGCCTGAACTTCATTACTAAATTTTTCTGTATTTAAAAATTAATTTAGCTACCTGCATGCACTGCCAATTCATTCTTATTTTATTTATCTGTTTATTTCCTCAAGTATCTTCCCAATGAAAGATTGACACATTTGAATGAGGGAGTCTATTCTTAGATTTAAGTCTCACGTGAAAGTCCCTCAAGTGGAGATTTTTACTCAGAGAGCTCTCTTCTGTGAGGAGAGTGCTCACACATACGAGTTTTGGCAAGGATGGGCCCTCAGACCGCTGTGAGAATCCTTCCATGGATAAAGTTAGTGAGGTAAGTAATTGTTTGCAGGACTAAGCCCAGATACAATAAATGTGAACATGAGAGAAACAGTACCAGTTTGCAGAGATGTCAGTTTATGATGAATGCCAGTATATTTGGAAAAGGTATTTTGCTCTCTGGCATTCATAAAATCTATGCCATAACTGTATATTGTAAGTGTCAATATAAATATAAAAAAACCTTTAGATAATATATTTCTAGGGTGAACATAATTCACATAAACCTCAATGATTCAAAATAAAAAGAGATAGCACCAAGTGCCCGGAATTGCGAAAAGTGGAACACACAAAGCTTTGTTGACTTCTGTGGGACTAGTTGTATGATGAAAGTTACCTACATTCCTAAGCGTTCTCTTTATTGTGTTCTAATAATGTCATCTCTCTTTTATGAAAAGCACTAATGCTCCTTAAAAAGAATAAAGAACCTGCTAACGTATTGGTGCAGGAAAAGCCACTGAGTTACTCATTTTATAAGGGAACACACATGTGCACTTCTGTTAGTGGAGTCCTCTTAGGGCTTGACTGCTTGCACAGCATACCATAGCAGTAAGTAGAGTGCACTGATTCATGTCAGAGACACTTCTAGGAAACCACTAATTTTTATTTTGCTCACCTCTTGCTCTAGATAACTGTGATCTGCAGGTGACCTCTTCCAGTGGCAAATTACCCCTCACTCCCTTCATCCCTGTGCCTGCTGGAGAGCGTGGGGACGTTGTCCATCCCCTGTGCTTAGCCCACGTTCTACCTCTGGGCGAGGTGTAGGGTGATAGCACATGGGAGTTGAGAACTCCCCTCACCAATATGCAGTTATCCACAATCAACTTTAATTACTCTTTCCCAGACTTCCTGTTAGTAGATAAAACCAACTGAAACATTTTCTTTCTCACTAGATGATAATTCGATTTGCAGACTTTGCTTTACTCACTCCACTTTCGTGCCAACACTGCACATGCAGTTATTATTGGGCAAAAGTATAAAACTGCAGTGTTCTGATCACAAAGAAATCTACTTAAGAGGGAGAAAAACCTTGAGAGTGCCATAAGGATCTCCATTTTCTTCTCTAAGGGAACAAACTAGCCCATGCAGAGGGAATGGGATCAGGGTCATGGATCCAGCAGGTCCTTCAAACCAGTGACAGGTAGAAAGTGCTCTGGTTGTGGAGTCCTGTGGATGTTCAATAAGTGGCTTTGAAGTCACCCTGGCAAAGCCCCTCCTGGTGTGGTGACGAGCAGCTCACAGGGCCGTTGGGAAAGCAGCACGGAAGCTAAGGATGGAAGCTAACACTCATAAATTAGCGACTCCTTGCAGGATTCTCTGGAAAACCTCAAGGACACTGTGCTGTGGTGGCTCCTGTGATTTCCCAGCCTTGAGCCTCCCTTGTTTCCATTTTACGGAGGCTCTTCATACAGATTTTAGGGGAATTCTTCTGGTCATACTTGCTACGATGCTACTTTTTGGTGTTTAGGTAAGGGAGAAAAGCACCAGGCTGAGCTGTTCCTTCATGCACTTAGAAAAGCAAAGGCTCATTATACTTTGATTTCACTATGACTAAATGTTTGCCTTGATCACATTGTGGAGTCTTTGCACAATTTGCATATTCTGCAGTATTTGTGAATTCTTTTCCTTGAGGGGCAGGCTCCAATTTACTCATTCAGAACATCATTGTTTAACAAATTCTCTTTTTCTTAACAGCTGTACTACCATACACTTGGCAGTCAATTGGCAAGCCAGCTTGTCTTGCTTATGGTCAGGAAAGATTAGAATTTAAAGTACTTATTTCAACTCATAAATGAAATATTTATGTCAAATATTAAACTAGATGTGAAGGGGGAGGGGAGTGGTAACATCAGACCTGTCCTCGAGGCTCCTGAGGCAAAGGGAATCTGGGAATCACAGACAAAACACCATGAAGGAAGGCCACCTGAAGACCAATACAAAGGAAATTGAGCCATTCCAGCCAGTAAGTCACTGGGCGCCCACCTGAAGTGCCTTTACACAAACGCAGGCAGCATGGGGAACAAGCAAGAGGAGTTAGAGATGTGCTCACACCTCCAGGGCTAAGATCTTATTGGCATCACCAAGAGTGTTGGACTGGAGGGTTACAGACTCTTCAGGAAGGACAGAATAGGTAGAGGGGGAGGGGGTGCTGCTCTCTATGTCAATGATCAGCTGGAGTGTGTGGAGCTCCACCTGGGGATGGATGAAGACCTGACGGAGAGCTTATGGGTCAGGATTAAAGGGACCACAGGGGCAAGTGATGTTACAGTAGGGGTCTGCTACAGACCACCAAATGCTACAGACTACCTCTGCTACGAGGACAGGCTGAGGGAGCTGGGGTTGTTCACCCTGGAGAAGAGGAGGTTCCGGGGACACCTAATAGCAGCCTTCAGTACCTGAAGGGGGCCTACAGGAAGGCTGGGGAGAGCCTGTTTACAAAGGCTGTCAATGACAGAACAAGGGGTAATGGCTTTAACCTGGAGAAAAGCAGATTTAGATTAGACATTAGGAATAAGTTCTTTACTGTGAGGGTTGTGGAGCACTGGAACAGGTTGCCAAGGGAGGTGGTTGAGGTCTTATCCCTGGAGATATTCAAGGTGAGGCTCGACGAGGCACTGGGCAACCTGGTCTAGTTGGGGGTGTCCCTGCTGACTGCGGGGGGGTCGGACTAGATGACCTTGAAGGTCCTTTCCGACCCAGATGACTCTATGATTCTATGATTCTATGATTCTATTCTAGGATGACAGGGAGGATGAGGCTCTCTATAGACAGGAGCAGCATCGCACTCACACACCCTGGTCCTCATGGGGGATTTCAGCCAGCCCGATATCTGTTGGAAGGACAACACAGCAGAGCACAAGAAATCCAGAAAGTTCTTAGAATGCATTGATGATAACTTTCTTCTTCAAATGATTGAGGAACCAACAAGGAAAGGAGCTGTGCTGGACCCTATCCTTACTAACAAGGAGGGGATGGTGGGGAATGTCAAATTCAAGGATAGCCTTGGCTTCAGCGATCATGAAATGGTGGAGTTCAAGATTCATAGGGCAACGAGGAGGGTGTACAGCAAGCTCGCGACCCTGGAGTTCAGAAGAGCAGACTTTGGTCTCCTAAGAGATCTGATTGGGAGGATAGCATGGGAAAAAGAACTGGAGGGGAGAGGGGCCCAAGAGGGTTGGTTGGTATTCAAGGATCGCCTCCTCCAAGGTCAGGAGAGGTGCATCCCAAAAAAGACGAAGTCAGGCAAAATAGCCAGCAGGCCTGCGTGGATGAATAAGGAACTGCTGGACAAGCTCAGGACCAAAAAGAAGGCCTATGGAGGGTGGAAGCAGGGATGGGTAGAAGGGGCAGAATACAGAGAAATGGTCCAGGTGGTCAGGAACAAGATCAGGCAAGCAAAAGCCCAGGCAGAACTAAATCTAGCCAGGGACATCAAGGATAATAAAAAAAACTTCTACAGATATGTCAGGGACAAAGGCAAGACTAGGGAAGTTGTGGGCCCTCTCAGGAAGGAAACGGAAGACATGGCCACCCAAGATATGGATAAGGTTGAGCTACTGAACAACTTCTTTGCCTCAGTCTTCACTGACAAGGGCTCAAATCACACTACCCAAGTCATGGAAGGCAAAAACAGGGGCTCTGCAAATGAAGAACCACCCACAGTAAAAGAAGATCAGGTTTGAGACCTCTTAAGGAACCTGAAGGTGCATAAGTCCATGAGACCTGATGAAATCCATCCACGGGTCCTGAGGGAGCTGGTGGATGAAGCTGCTAAGCCGCTTTCCATCATATTTGAGAAATCGTGGCAGTCTGGTGAAGTTCCTGTAGACTGGAAAAAGGGGAACATAACCCCAGTATTCAAAAAAGGAAAAAAAGAAGACCCAGGGAACTACAGGCCGGTCAGTCTCACCTCTGTGCCTGGCAAGATCATGGAGCAGATCCTCCTGGAATCTTTGCTACGGCCCATGGAAAATAAGGAGATGATTGGAAACAGCCAGCATGGCTTCACCAAGGGCAAATCGTGCCTGACAAATCTGGTGGCCTTTTATGATACTGCCACAGACTTGGTAGACAAGGGCAGAGCAACAGATGTTGTCTACCTGGACCTATGCAAAGTGGTCGACACTGTCCCGCATGACATCCTGGTCACAAAATTAGAAACTAATGGATTTGATGGATGGACCACTGGGTGGATAAGGAGCTGGCTGGCTGGCCGCACCCAAAGGGTTGTGGTCAATGGCTCAATGTCCAATTGGAGGCCAATGACAAGTGGTGTTCCTCAGGGGTCTGTACTGGGACCAGTGCTGTTCAGCATCTTTGTCGGAGCCATGGACAGTGGGATAGAGTGCACCCTCAGCAAGTTTGCGGATGACACCAAACTCGGTGGCGCGGTTGACACACTGGAGGGAAGGGATGCCATCCAGAGGGACCTGGACAGGCTGGAGAGGTGAGCTCGTGCAAGTTGCATGAGGTTCAACCAAGCCAAGTGCAGGGTCCTGCACCTTGGACGTGGCAGCCCCAGACATAAATACAGGTTGGGTGGAGAATGGCTGTAGAACAGCCCTGAGGAGAAGGACTCGGGGGGTGTTGGTGGATGAGAAGCTCAACATGAGCCGGCAGTGTGCGTTGGCAGCCCAGAAAGCCAACCCCATCCTGGGCTGCATCAAGAGAAGCGTGGCCAGCAGGTCACAGGAGGTGATTCTGCCCCTCTGCTCTGCACTCGTGAGACCCCACATGGAGCACTGTGTCCAGCTTTGGAGTCCTCAACACAGGAAGGACATGGATCTGCAGAGGGCCACAAAGATGATCAGAGGGATGGAGCACCTCCCCTATGAGGACAGACTGAGAGAAGCTGGGATTGTTCAGCCTGGAGAAGAGAAGGCTCTGGGGAGACCTTAGAGCAGCCTTTCAACATCTGAAGGGAGCTACAGGAGTAGATGGGGAGGTGTAGTGATACGACAAGGGGTAATGGTTTTAAATTGGAAGAGGGGAGAT